GCTACATTGCTCTGTGTATTTCGTGATGAACTCCATCCCCACATGAATGCCTTGTGCGTGAGTTGGGATACTGTTTACTTCAATTAGTTATACTTTTGATGTAGATTGGAAGCAGCTTCAGCTGTGTGTGATCATTAGACCTGGAGAAAATGTTTGCATGGATGTTGATTTATTTCTTTTTGCATGGGCTAGTTCCTTCAGTCTCATGTTTCTAAGCGGTTATTTGGTTTCAAGCCTCTTGCTTACATTTGCCTCCCACGCACGCGCCTTTGTTTCATTACCCCTCCACTACTTTATTCCTTTTATTATTATTATTATTATTTTTGAAGCATGACTTTTCTTTTACTTCCAATCCATGGCTGATATTATGAAAGTGTTCTTTTCTCATTAAGAATGAAGCTGTCCTAAAGGCATGTGCCGAAGAACCTCCCTCAACAGCCACTTCTGATGGTGCTATTAAAGCTGCTGAAAACATTAGCAAGGGCAACTAAGTTGAAGGTGGTATGTTGTTGGATAACATGAAGCCAGTCCGTAGGTTGTATCATTGATATTTTGGAATTCAAACATCAAAATATATTTCAGCATGTTTTTGGTCCATGGCAGGTTAATTTAATAGTAGTTGAGCTCTGGTCTTGAATTCTACATAAGAAAAAAGCATGAGAACAGATTCAGTGAGGAACATCCTTGCATTTTTGCTTGCAGGAGATGTCCCTTTATTCTGGAACTTGGGTGAAAAAAGAGTACATGTGAGTGCCCCCATTAAAGATAATGCCAGTTTCCTTCTGGTTTTGAATATGATCTCATTGATGAACATGCTCACTGTTGGAAGAACACATGATTAGATCTCATATCTTACGTGTAGTCGAAGCATCTGTATGTTGCGTGCTTCACAGAAGTTTCTGACATGTTGATATGGTAGGTACACCATGTGGTCTTGGAAGGGACGAAGAAGAAAAATGGAAATCTTGTGAAACCAACAAAGTCCAACTGGTTCAGTATGAATCAACAATCAATCATAGAACATAGATTCAAGGATCTGAGTCCTAAATAATGCTGTCCAATCTCAATCTTAATTCAAAAAATTAAACTCAGCTGGGAGGGGATGAAGTGTAGGTGTCCTACACATGATTATTTAATGTTTGTGTGCCATTAGGGAATGTTAGTGGGAGATAAGATAGTGAGCAACTATTTTACGCAAGAAAGCATTTAAAAAGTTGTTGGATTGAAGGGAAGGGGTCAAAATTGATGGATGATCACACGTTCCCAGCCTGCAAAGCAAATATATTTTCTTTTAAAAGAAAAGGAAGATTCAATGACATTGACAGTGACAAAGACCCAAAATGCCATACAGATAATGGAAGGGTTTTGTCTGTTTGAGTGATTGACCTAACCAGGGGAGACTCAAGTTTAGGGTACAAAAGACGAGTTAGAGAGAGAAAAAGGGGGGGAGTTAAAGCAGTACATTGAGAATCGGGTCAGCCATTAAACAAGTTTAAATACTAGTTTAAAGATTAAATTTTAGTTGAATTCATCATAAATAAAATATTTTATTAAATTAATTAAGATTCTGATTTAACTATTTATTAATTTAATTGGGTAAATTAATTGAGATTCTATACTAAGAGAGAGAGTCAGTGTCAAAAGAGCGGGCTACCATGAGGGGCTGCCCACGTGATTGACAAGAACATTGCCCGAAGTCAGCAATCTCTTATTTCCTTCTTGAAAATGATAACTTATTAACAAAAGGTGACGTGAACAACTCCAACAGCTCTCTCTTTCTCTCTCTTTGATCCTAAACCCACTCTCACAAGTAACTCTGGTCGGCAATTATTTCTCTTTTAAAATTATAATAATATCCTAATAATTACTGCATCTTCTCTGCCGCTTGACATCTGATGCTCTGTGCCAACCCCAATACTCTGTTTCTTTGTAACTATGTTCTCTGTTTTGCCAACTACTTGCTTCTTGTCGTCTACATGGCAGGAATTTTTTTAACAGCCTCAACAAAAACAGAGAGAGATAAATCATTAATGTTGTGTGGAAAAAAAATTTTTAATTTACTTTTATTAAATATATCATTTTTAAAAACATTTTCTATCTGATGAAACATTTTTCTTGCTTATAGAAAATTGTAAAAAGGTAAATTTAGAAGGAAAAAAAGTTATTAATGATCTGTCTTTTTTTTATACAAAATAACTTATAAAAAATACCATCGATTTTATTAGAATATGACTTGTATGTGAAACTGAATGACGTATTATTTGATTAAATAAGAAGATATTTGAATTCTCAAAAACTTCTTTTGTTCCATCCCTGCAATAGTATAGAAGCAATCTGAAGAAGTTAGAATTAACCAAATTTACTCTGTTGAAGCAATCAAGAAAGTTGTAGAAGAGTGTGCGTGTGTGTAGAGAAGTGGGCTAATCTACTAATCCAACCAATCCTGTTTGCACAAAGAGCTAATGGTTTATCCCACCATTGAATCAAATTAGCGAAAGAGTATTGAGTCTATTATTTATTCCACTTGATAAAACCATCATTACTTAAATCCATTAAATCTTTCCACTAGACAAGATGGCAGGGTTTATGTTTTTTTGGTCATGTCTTCCATTATTGGTTCCTTTTGCTCTTTCATAGCTATTTCTATTTATGGCCAAAAGTTCATTATTTCTTCCAAAACTATTTAAATTGCAAGTTGGACGTATTGATGCGTGTATGGAACATGTATCCGAAGTTTGTAGCAAGCATTGGGTCTATAACATGTTTTATTAGAGGAAAATATGAAGACATCTTTTGTGTTTGTTTGCAACACAAGAATTTAGATATCACGTCCTACTAGATTCAACCCTGCAATTGCTCTTTCATATTTGTCCGCACGTCTGGTTAATCTAACCTCCAATTTACATAAAAAGCAAAAACAAGACATATTTCTCGTTTTTTTTGGATAAATCACTTCAAAATAATTCATTAAAATTAAGGTGGATGAGTTAAAATAATAAAATTATCTTAAAACTAAATTATTTTCTAATTTTATTCTTAAATTTTAAAAAGAGTGATTTGATGTATGAAATTCTTTTTTGTAAATTAAAATATTACACTTTTTTTTAGAATTTCGTGAAACGTATTTTTGGAATTGTACACAAAATATTACAAACTTATACAAAAGATAAAAAAAATAAAATATGACCTACAAAAAGGATCCGAGGGAGTATATATTGTATACTCCTTTTTGTACTTTATTTTTTATTATTTCATCGAAATTAATGAAAAATAATTAAATTATTGATATTGATATTATATAAAAAAAGAGTTGGTTTAAGTTTATTAAAATATTAATCTTTGAATTCATTCTCTCTTTGATATGTAAAATTTACTCCTCATGAAATGATGAATTGAAAAGTAAGTAGTTAATGAGTGAAAGTAAGTACTTAATTCTCAACTTTTGCAGTTAATGATTGAAAGTAAATATTTTATTCACTCCTATTTATAAACTACTTATAACTACTATTTGGTTTCATTTATAGAGTAAAGAGAGAAGAAAAAATTTAATCTTATTTACAAGGCACTTGTCAAATTATAATACTTCTCTTTATATTTTTATCCTTATTAAATATTTTGATAAAAATATCAATAATGAGATTTAAGAATATTTATTAAGGATAAAGGTAAAAATTTATTAAATTTTAAGATAATTCAATAAGGTTCAAAGTTTTTCTTGATATTGACAAAACATGTTGAAAGTGATTTATATATAAATCACAGAGAGTATCTCACTAAAATTAGGAAGATAGTTAATTATTAATCTTTTTGTGAGTTAAATTATTGTCTAAAAAAGAAAGAAAATTTTCAATTTACCCTCGTTAAACGTATCACATTAAAAATGTTCTCTCTTTGGTATAACTTTTTTTTTTTTACTTTTTTAAAGAGTAAAATTAAAATAAAGTAATTAATAATTCACCTTTTTATATAATGATTAATAAAAATGACCTTAATTTCTTTTCAATTATAAAAAGGACTGTCAATTTTTCTTCTAAAATGCTCCCCTCAGTATACAATAAGTATTTTTTTAATTAATCTTAGTTTAAAATATTTATTAATTTAAATTTTTGTGTAAATGTATCTTTCTCTAATCATGAAGTACGTTGATAATTGAAATTAAAGATAAAAAAATAATTTAAATTTTTATAAGAATAAAATTTTTATTGATATGTGAATTTTTTTAAAAAGCTTTTTATATTTTGAATTGAGGGAATATAGCTTATATATAAACTCCATGTCCAAACTCACATTGAAATTTTCAGATCAACTACGGAACTATCAAAGAAGTAAGAAAAGATTTTTGGCCGATAACCTTGTAATCTAATCACCATATTAGTCCCACTGTTAATGGAATGTCACCGTCAACGTATGCCCTCAAATTTAGAACAAGAAAAGAAAAGATTTGGATAAGATATGCAAAATAATTGTGAGAAAAACATCACTTTGCATTGTAGGTCCTTGTACTTAAATTTTGATATTGTATGTTAACACTAAACAAAAATACAATAATCTATAATAAAATTTGAGTAAAATAGAAAGACCTAAACTTATATTATCCCTAAATTGTAAAGGGTTAGAAATAAATTGAAGTGGACTGTAGTTTTTCTTGAAGTCAATTAGCCCATCAATTTTCAAAACTAGGGACCCTCTAATCACCTCATTTTCAACCTAGTGACTCTTTCTTCCTCCTCCTCACCCTCCTAATTCAAAAATGTCCATAGAATTACTATTAACTGTAATTGCTAATTTTTCTTTACCAAAAAAAAAAAACCGTAAATGCTATTTTGTCGGCAAGTGATTTATTTACTCCTACACCAGACAGCTGGCTTCAGCTTCTTCAATTCTCAAATTCTGGGATTTACATCTCGTTCGCTTCATTCATAAACCAACAACAAAAGCTGTACGAGGTTGATCATGATGATCTTAGATGTTACTAGCTAGTATGCAACTTAAGAGCTGTGTGGATGAAGCAAGAACTTGTAATTGCTCAATTAAGCAGAGTACAAACCATTCATTACACCTTAGAGATTGAGAGGAAACAAAAGGTAGTGCCGGTATTCATTTGACTCTGAATAATTATAATAATAATAACAATAATCTAAAACCAGAAAGGATCAGAAAAGTAGTACAAGGTACAACAACAACATTAACTAGGAATGAGGACAAAGTAAGATTAATGAAAGCTTTCTAGTCACGGGTTTCTTGTAAGAGACGGTAAGCTGTTGCAACTACTGCTTGCTTCTTCACGCTCATCAGATTCGTTGTGAAGAGAACGAGAACCAGAGAGATGCGTGATTCCACTTATGCTTGAGGTCGACGAGGTAGGTGTCCGATTCAAATCAGTCTTACTATTATTATTGTTATTCTTATTGCTCTGTGATAAGAAATCATAGAACACAGGCCTTGAGCTTAACTTGTTCATCATGTCTCTATTCACTCTGAAATTGCTCTGTTCTTCAGTACTCATCTTTCCATTTCTTCTCTTCAAGAATATACGACACAGTACCCAGTTCTGCATACCCACCACAGAGCTCTGTGTCTGCAAAAAATAACCGAGCAGACCAGTTTGTTATGTTTTGATATATAATGAAGGAGAATGAGCCATAAACTTGAGCCTCTCTTACATTATGGAGGCGATACTCGTGCATGATCCAGTCGGTTCTGGAGCCATGAGGAGGCTTGCCTTTGTAGAAAACCAGAGTCTTCTTCATGCCAACGACGACTTGATGGTTGTTGGGTTTCGAAGTCAAAATTTGCTTGTCTAAACCCGTGGCCTTCCAATACCCAGAAAGTGTGGCTCTGTTAGATCGGCTTCCATTAGAGTACTTAGCTTCTCTGGTACTGAAGAAATATCTCTCCTGTTCCATATGACCTGTACAGAGTAAGCCCCCCTGATAGCTCTCTGTTAGAGCAAGAGAGATAGAGAGAGAGAGAGTGAAATTAAACAGAGAGAAACAAAGAGAAGCGAATCACTAAAACCTGGCAAGTCCCAAGGGTCTGATTTGCAGACATGAACCTCAGGAATGATTGAAGCTGGCAAAGGATAAGCCAAGACCTTGCGCTTCAAGTATTGAACCACAAGTTCTTCGTCTGTTGGATGAAATCGAAACCCAGGTGGCAATCTGAGCTCGCCATTTCTCACAAAACTCACTTTCTTCTCCTTCTCCATTAATTGCAACTATTAATTTCACAGTTCACAACCCAACGCACTCCTTCTTCGTCACTTTTATACCACAATACAGAATCATACACAAAGCAGAACCCGAGGCCAAAAGAGAAAGAAAAAGGCGATTTTATTGTAAATTTTACAGAGACTCAAAAGATAAAGCAAAAGGGTATTACGAAGGAAGGAAGGAAGAAGGAAAGAGAGAGAGAGGGCGAGTCGAGTCGAGTCGGAGAAGAGGAAGTGTGGCTTCTTTTTATAGTAATGTGGCTGACACAGAGACAGACACAGAGGAGAAGTATACGACGACATATTTGCGTAAACGACACTCAAGCTCCCATTTTCTTTGACGCAATTTTTTTTAAGACAAAAATATAAAGGGTAAATGATAATCAAGGACTCTTAAGAATATTAATTATAATTACATACATTAAATTGTTGAAATTACAATAATAAAATGTGATCCTTACAGATAAAAAATATAAATAATTAATTGAGAAATCAATAAAATAGATACACTTAAAATTAGGTTAGAAATTAACAAGCGTCATTATAAATCTTGATTTTTTTTCTTTCAATATATAAATGAACTACTTAAAAAATAAAAAAAAATACATTTAAAATTATTTATAACTTAAAAATCATAAACTAATCACTTATAATTTTTTTTATTATCAATATATAAATAAATTTCTTGAAAAATATACAAAATATATTTAAAATTATTTATAATATTAATTAAGAATTTAAAAAATTAATTATACATCATTAGTCAATCATTTATGATTTTTTGATATCATTCAAAAATTAACAAAAAATACATGAAAATCTTTATAATATTAGTTAAAAATTTATTAAAATTTGCAATTAACAAAAGCTGATTTATTATTAATAAGGATTACGATCTATTATTTAGATATCAATACTTCACAGTAGGGGTATATAATGATTATTAATATCTTTATAGGTTCATTTATTGTGATTTTCCCTAAAACTGATCTCTTTCAAAATGTGAAATAATCCATTCCATCCAAGTTCTGAATGAATTCTTATATTAGACTAACGGAACAGATTGCTCCTCCTAGTTTAGTTGCGATCGAAACGTTTTAGCCGAATCAGGCAGGGGAAAAAAATTATATTCCACAAGCAATGTCGTTTTCTACTCACATACAAGTACACAACATTTAATAATTCAGTGCAAGTCACCTTATGTGTCATCGCCTTCCCACGGAGGTCACCCAATAAATCCTTTGTTTATTCTTTTATTGAAGGTACAAAAATAGCCCTGATTGAGTGATTTCTACGGTCTCTGCAGTGTCATTTCCTGTAATTTATTGTTGGTATTAGAGCTGACAAAAGAATGAGTTATTGCCTTGTTCTTTCAATTTTATTTATAAAATATATTTTACAAATTTATTTAATCTCATTTGTAAGTTACACTATAACTTTTTATATAATATTCCTTCCAATTTTATTTATAATCATATTTTAAAAAGTTTATTAAATCTTATTTATAAATTACAGTGTAATTTTTTAAAATATTTGGTCTTTGTTATATTTATTATATAAAAATATATTTAAATTTTATCCACTTTTTACTTCATGTTTTTTTTATTAATATTGATGAAATTGGTAAAAATAACTAATAAAAAATTGGAGCAGTATGTGATCAGCACAGTGATACGTGCCGTTTAATCCATCGTCTTGTGTCGTTTTGGCTTTGACCTTTCACCCATTACGGCGACTACACATTTCGTGTGTTTATAGGCTAGTGAAGAGTTCAATTACTAAAAAGAAAATATAAAATAATAATATTTCTCGATTGCTTTTCTTCACTCAATATCTGGATCTTGCACGGATTGACCGAAACTTACATATTAATATATTTTATTATTAGTATTTTTTTATTTACGTAACGTAACACCATATGCATATCTAAAGCACAGAAAACATAACACATATATATACTATGAAGCATAACATCAAGGAATAAACTAGGTTTTCGTAGCGCCCACCTATTATTTTAGAGAAAAATGTCAACAAATGGGTCGCCTTATAAAATATTATGAATGTCATTTGTGAAGGGAGCTGCAAAGAAATCGATTGTCATTTGCGCTGCCTCAAAATTAGATAAAGAAACATTGTTATCATTTATCACTTGATTTAACATATATGTATAAGATTAAAAGGTCAGTTTCACCTTAAATTATAGTTTAGAAATATATGAGATTTTAAATTTATTTGAGTATAATAATCCCTAATGTAATGTCATCTTTATTATTAACAAAAATTAATTATGACTGTTAATTAATAAAAAAATCATTGAAAAAAATTAAAAAAATACAGAAAATGATTAAAATTATAAACAAGAACAGAAAAATTACAGAAAAAGGTCATATTTTTGTTTAAAAAAATTGAGATTCTGTTCTACAAATTTTTGAATCAATTAACAACTAAAGTTAATTTTTATTAATGATATGAGCAATATGTATTATTTAAAAATGTTGAAGGAA